TTTGTTTGAGATTTTTCTTGCTTCTTGAGGTGGGCCTGTACTGCTATAAACTTCCTTCTTAAAACCCCTGTGGCTGTATCCCAAAGATTTCGGACTGTTGTGTTTTCATTTATTTTGGTGTAATCTGTAGTTTCTTTTCTGACTTCTCAGTTGACCCATTCATTGTTTAGCAGCATGTTATTTAACCTCTATGTATTTGTGTTCCTTCCAGTTTTTATAATTTCTAGTTTCATAGCATTGTGGTCAGAAGAGATGCATGGTATGGCTTTGGTCTTTTTGAATTTGTGGAGGCTTGTTTTGTGGCCTGATACATGATTTGTTGTGGAGAATGTTCCACGTGCACTGGAAAAGAATGTGTATCCTTCCGTTTTAGGATAGAATGTTCTGACTATATCTGTTAGATCCATTGGATCTCTGGATTTTCTGCTTGGATGATCTGTCCATTGATGTAAGTGGGGTGTTGAAGTCCCTTACTGTTATTGTATTACTATCAATTACTTCCTTTATACTTGTTATTAACTACTTGATATGTTCGGGAGCTCCTATATTGGGTGCATAAATTTACAATTGTTGCATCTTCTTGTTGGATTGTCACCTTTTTGATTACGTAGTACCTTTATTTGTCTCTTGTTATAGTGTTTTATTTATTTTTTTACAGTGTTTTAAAGTCTGTTTTGTCCAATACAGTTGACATTCGCGTGCGTGATAAGTGCTTCTCCATCTTCTCACTCTCTCTGCAGGTGTGTTCAGTCTGAGATGAGTCCCTTGGAGTCTCTTGTAAGCAACATAGATGAGTCTTGTTTTTTATCCATTCTGTCACCCTATGTCTTTTGATTGGAGCATTTAGTCCGTTTATATTCATGGTAATTATTGATAGGTATATATTTAGTCCATTTTGTTACTTATTTTGTGGTGCTTTCTTTAGGGTTTTTTTTTTTTTTTTCCTGATCCTTGCTCTTTTCTCTCATGATTAGTTGGCTTTCTGTAGTGATAGACTTGGATTCCTTTCTCTTTGTTTTTTC